GTGTTGATATGACAACACCATCTTCTCCTCAAAATAAAAATAAGAGAACAGCAGATTATATGGTGATATTATGCCCACCTTCAACTCAGTGGAATGGCCTCCACCACAGGGGACTATGTTATAAATCATTCACAAACCATGCAAATACTTCATGACTACTTTATATCTATCTATACCTTTGTAATTTCATAGCTGTGGTTTCAGACATTTTGTTGCCATTTCTCTTTACATAGGTGCTCCTGGCCTTCTTTTCTATTTTGCTAAACTTTTTGCATTTGGGAATTAAACCTTTAATGACCTTTTTCATGAGGTTTCGGTTCTTGTTCCTTTATTAGTACTCTCAAATCCCAAATTTAATCTCTGAGTTAGTTCATTTCATTTGCAAGCACTGTAATCCCTTTTGTTTTTCTCTTCAGCCACATCCTCAGGCTTTTCACTTTTCTTCCCCTCTGTGTTGTTCTGTTCTCCCATGAGCTCTTTCTCAGGAGTTTATTATTTCAACAAAAACACTGTTTGGATGAATTCTGTCCCATCTGGATAGGGTTTTTGTACCTCAAAATGACATTTTACACCACAGAAGGAAAATCTTCCTTCTTTTTTCTTTATAATAGCTCTCCAGTGAAGTCCCTATTCTGTCCTCTCCCTCCTTTGCTCTGAGTGAGTAATATAAAATACTGCAGAGGTTACTTTTACAAAAGTCACCCTTACCCTTTGTCCTACACCTTATATTAGTTCCTCTAATTTCTTGTCTGATTGCAGTCTGTTTCTGGTGACCTTGGTGCCTTGAAGGGTGCTGGTTTTTGTTTTTTTCATGTTCCTTTCTTATAGTGTAACTTAAGAGATTTTACTGCTGCATTTGTTTTACTGGACCAAACTTTTTTAACTCTGAAGGTCCTTGGCAAAATACTACAGTTTTATAGGTCAGTACATCCTCCTAACCTGGAGGGAGATCTGTACTTACAGCTGAATCTTCATCTGTGATTTCTCATGGTAAATTCATTATTCTTGCATAGGCAAGGTCAGTCAATGTTGAACTGTGGAGTCCCTCTTATTCTGCAGCATCATTTAAGATCCCCACTGCAGCTTGGGTTAGTAAACACCTCTGTACTGTCAGTATGTGCTCTTCTACTATCCAAAGGCTCTGTACTGTCTTTCCACTACCCTCAGACACATTCCTAATTCCTATTTAATCCAGGAATAGAGTCTGGGAGTGAATGCAGCAAAACCAGGGTAGAGCTGACAGTTATGGCACCCATAACAGCCACAGAGGGAATGAGGCATATCTAAGTGACTGATTGTTATACATAAAAAAATCTTCAGCAATCATAGATTATTTGTCTGCAATTCCACTCTCATTTTTCACTAGTTATTGTTAGTGTTGTTTGACATTCCATCTTCCAATTTGCTGTGGTAATGGACTCAAGGCTGACAAACAAAGTGATGAAATACTGCTTATCTCAGTTTTATTTCTTCTCTGAATAAAACCCTAGTGGACAAAACCATCTTGGATAGAAAACTACTCTCAATACTGATGCAATTCATGATCATTCAGCATCTCTGCTCTACTGAGCTGATCCTACAGCCAAAGATTTTTTTCTATATTGCAGCAATATAACATTTGCTAATTGGCTCACTAATTGGTTGTATACCTTGCTTATTGTGTTGAAACAGGGTTTCCTACTCTCCCAAGTGTAGGAGATTGTCAGGTGTGTTCACATCTGAAAACCTGTGAATCACAAAGGTTCCACAGGTATTTATCTTTATTTATTCATGCAAGTTTTTTGGTTCTGGGAACAGACTGGGGCTCAAGCCAGGATCTCCTGATACTGTGCCCTGTCAGTATTTGTCCTGGGTTAAACCGGGATCTTCTCCACGTTACTGGGTGAGGACGGCCGAGTATCAAGTTCTGCTGCATAAACTAATGATGGAGATACTGATCTTTCTGTTGCATTACTGGGATGGGCAGAAATTCTAATTCTGGCTGAATGTTTGAATAGTGTAGTCCAAATACAACAAGACTTCATAATATTATATTCTCTGGGAAGTTTTCTGAATTGTTATCAGTCAGAAGCTTTCTGCTGAAAAGGGTCCCCTTGTAAAAGAAAATCTCACAAGGTAGAGTGTGTATTCATTTAGTTGTCTTGTAAATAAACTGCTTTAAATTATAAATTATGGGCTTTTACTCTAGATCTGGAATGTACCTAGCTGACTCCTTCTGCCATAAAACATCCATGGTGGCTGAGCACTGAATAATGGTGTACATATAATTTATGTTGGTACATCTTGAGGATCACTTTTGCCTCAAATGATTAAGCTACAAGAAGCTGAATGCTTACAAACTTACTATAAAATGAGACAATTTAGCAGAAAGTTAAAGAAATACCTTTCCAAACGTTTTGATTTTTGTTTCTTATTTCTGTTTCTGAGTTAATTATTTTTAGGTGTTTGAATTTTTGTGAATTCCTGACCAATTTCATATGCCCTGTTTTGTGACTCCTTTGCCATGTGTAGATCAGTAAAGATCTGTGGATTGTGAGAACACAGCCCCAACTTTGTTTCAAGAGGAGAAACTGTGCTATGCTGTAATGAAAGGGATTCCCTGAGATGCAGGAAAGGAGTAACTTATTCTCCTTTGTCATTTTTCTATCTGCATCTCTCTGATGTATGTTTTAATTTTTTTATGTTCATCAGCAAAATGCAAGAATTATGAAGAGTTCTGTGACACTGAAGTGACTTCTGAAAAGTTGGACAAGGTAACTGGAAAGAATTTGTAATGAAAAGATTGTTTGTTCTTAATAGCTGGAGAGATTAGCATTTTTCTGTAATTCATTGAATTTATGGATGATATACCAGGGATAGAAGTGTAATAGAAACATTGTACTTCAGAGGATGACTGCATATTTTTGCTGCCTATGTTTGATTGCAAATTTTCTGCTGTTTGAAATTTAAAAATTGTACAGTGTTTGGGCAAAAAAACAACTATATCAAGTTGAGAAAGGTTTCTGGAGAGTTTTTAATTTTTTTGAGGGAAAAAAAAAAATAGAAAAGCATAGAGCTTGCTGACAGCATTTACAGCTGCTTTAACTCAATTGTAGTTGACACAATGTGTACATTTACACCAGACAGTCTCTGCATTGGCAAATCTTAAGAGATTTAAGATGCCTATTTTTATCCAGACAGAAATAGGCAGTGCAATTCTCTCCCCTTGTAATCATGCTATCATCTGGTGTCACCAAGTGATATAAAATTTGCTTTAATGTCAAAATGATTGACATTGCACTTTCTTAAAGTCTATTTTGTTTAACTTATAGCCAACTGTTAATTCTGACTACTCATTAAGGTACCATTAATTTTCATCTGCATTAAACATATTCTAAAAACTCCCAAGAAAATCTCCTGCAAGTTTGTTTGGGTTCTATTTGGGCATCATCTATTAGTAAAAACTTTGATGAAATTGATGAAAATATTGGCTACTATAAATTCAGCCACTGCCTTGCCAGAAGTGAGAAATGCTTAAAGCTTTTAGACATTAGTTGATAAAATATGTCCTTAAGATGGAAATTGAGTCTCTGCAGGCTCCCAGCCTCTTGCCAGTACAAAATCTCCTCTGTATTTTACAGGACATTGCCTGCTTGAGGGCTGCTCTCAGTGTGACAGCTCAGGAAGAAAAGAGCTGAGATACACAGAGCCTATCCCAGTGTTTCTGACCAAATTCCACGAGAGCTGAAGGACTGTGGGCAGGGGGGAAAAAGGCTCAGCTCACCACTGGACACAAGTGCTGCATCACTGGAGCAGCCTCTGATACAGTTGATGCTGGCTACCATTTGTTATGGAGATCCTTCCACTTGTGGAATGCCACAAATGAACTGGGAGAGCTGCATGGGGAGTGGGCAGAAAAGGGATGGCTTGGTGCAGGAATAATGTCAAAGTTCCAAACATCCCCAAAATATGGATGTGCTAAGAAAGGTGGGAGGAGGGGCAAAACTAAATGTGAAGCAAAAAATATAGGTACATGTAAGATTGCAAAGAGGGCTTTCTCCAGTTTGATAAGTTCCACAGAGGAAAATGAACAATAACAGCAGTAATAGTAATAGTAATAATAGTAATAATAGTAATAATAATATAGTGATTGCATGAGTAAACATGTGGAAAAAAGAGAATAAAAGAAGTTTTACTTAGTCACTTAGACCCCTAGGCAGGTGTCAGACACACTCACAGCCCTTTTGTTCTCCCTGAATATAAACAACCCAGTACTTACAGTACACAATAAAGTGTGCTCTGCAGCCTTACTCTCAATGACAGCTGTGCTATTCTGGCTCCAAAGGCACTGTGCCTACTGGAAACAAAATACTGCTGGAGGCTGAGGGGAGAGGCACCATCATATCACTTCCTCAGCCCCATGGCACAAAACATGCCTTAAAGGATGATAAGGAAAATTAATTATCCACTAACTTTTCAAATCAAGAGCTACAAGCTGAATTTTTGATAGCAAATCTATCTTTACTTTATAATTTTATCTACACATGGAACAAGTTTGGAGCTGTTTCAATCACTTGTTTTTACATTTGTGATGTTAAGACCCCAAATCTAAAAGAAAACATTAGTTTAGAAGTAAGACTCTAGTCTGTCTTTTCTAAACTTAGGAACTTTTAGTACCTGGTATACAGCTTTAATTAAGAGCAACTAAACTCCACAAACACTGCTTCACCTAAAAAGGGAAGTTAATCAGTGGCTGGGAGAGAGTTGAAGGGAAAATCTAAGGGTCTGATTTACCTTGAATCTGTTGTGGTTTTAAGCCCAGACTGAGATCAAACACCACACAGCCTCTCACTCAACCTCTCCCTCTTTCCCCCTACCGGTGGAATGGGGAGGAAAACTGAAATAAAACTTATATGTTGAGAAAAAAAACTGATTAATAATTGAAAACACAGTGCAATACAATAATAATGGTAAATAACAGTTATAATGAAAAGGAAAAAATGCAGAATGCAATTTCTCACCATCCATTGCCTGTTGCCAGACCCCTCTCCCCAAACCCAGATTGGCCCCCTCTGGGTAACTCCCCCAGTTTGTGTACTGGGCATGGCATTCTGGGGTGTGGTATATCCCTTTGGGTCACCTGTCCCAGCTCTGCTCCCTCCCAGTTTCTTTCATGAACCTCCTCACTAGCAGAGCAGGAACGAGGGATGAAAAGTCCTTGACTTAGGATAAACACACTTTAGCAAAAAGCCAAAACATCAGTGTGCTATCAACACCACTCTCATTCCAAATCCAAAACACAGCACTGTAACAGCTGCTGGGAAGAAATGAACACTGCCTGAGCTGAAACCAGAATAGAATCACACCTGGTCTTCCACAGTTATAAATCTAAACTCTCCCAGCTTGAATAAACTCTGATCCAGACTTTGAGTCTTGTGAAAGGATCATCTCTAATGCCCTTAGAAATCAGTGTATTTGTTCTTGCTTTTGGAAGGGAATTCTTGGGTTTTAACTGCAAGGTGATTTATTTTAAATCTAGCTACTCATGTTTAAATCCTGTTTATTTCTCAATCCCTGCAAAATTCCATGAGTTCAAAACTATGAGGGAGGTTCCCACAGACCCTGAGATTCTTAAAATAAAATGTTTCAATTTTCCATCTTGTTTCTGATTCCTTCAATTAAACTGCATTCATTGCAGCTTGGCAAACTTAATTGCACGCTTCAAAAAGAGAATAAACAAAAATCAGAATAATGCAGAAAGATGAAATTTTTAAAATTATATCTCTCAGAGAAAAAAAAAAAGACCATAAGAAATGGAAAGCCAAGAAGACATAATTTTGATTGTAGGTTTATCTTGATATATTTTGGTGAGAAAATGAGGCCTTGTTAACTGTGCTGAAAGCAAAATATTTGAAGGGAAGCTGGTTTGTCATTTAAATTTTATTTTATGAAACTAAAAAAATGCAAAATGGGCTGAATACTTATCAATCCCATTCCTGACTCTCTGTTTTTTCACTTGCAAGAGTGGAATTTACCTAATAAATTTGGAGTCAATTCAAAATGAAAGAAGTTGTTTTTTGTATTCATATGTAAGATCTCTAATAATTTGGTTGCTCATTCCTAGTAAAAATCAGGGGACAGCAATCACATATCTTGCTATTACACATGCATGATTTACCTTAGGAAAGATAAGAGTGGGTGGGAGTTATTTTTATCTTCACATGGCAACAAAACCTCTTGCACCCACGCTGCCAAAGCAATTTACAGAGGGTTAAAGGGATTTTGTTTCTTTGGGAAGGGAAGGGAGTCAGGCAGAAATGCTTGAGAGGGGAAGTGATCCTTACTTCTAATCAGAAGAATTTAGACCGTCCAGACTCTATAACAGAACCAGCTAGAGAATTTTTTACTATCTGTGAAGAACATTAGAAGAAGGGTATGAACTTGAAATGTGCACAGAGGAATTTTAAAACTGCCTTTGTACTGTGTGGTGCTGGGTGTGGCCTAATGATTGCTCTGGAATGGTTGTTACAGCCAACACTTGCCAGAGCAGGAGTTGTGGCTCTCTGATCTTGACTCCAGCTGCATGAGGAGGAAGGAAAATAGGTCAGCTAAAGACAGCTCAGATGTGTGTGATATGTTCAAAAGGGTGACAGCATCCTTCTGAGAGCCCCCTTTTTATTACCTGATATGCTTTTTCTGGACTCTTAAAATAATTTAGCTTGGAAGAGATCTCTGCAGATCCTCCAGCTTCACCTCTCACTCAAAGCAGGATCAACTGCACAGTGGAAATTGAAGAGGTCCTTTCCAGCATGTAAAGGATTTAAAGTACTGCTGGAAGTCTGAGTTGTTTGCTTTGTTTTCCAGTAATAATGCAGCCCTTTGGGATTATTTTATTGGATTATGAGGTGCTCTTAGTAAGAGAGATGCTCAGCATTTACGTATCTTGGGTATGGACATCTGAAAATCCTGTATAGCACTTTAGGGAAAGCTTCTGTTTTGACCCAGATGACACAATAATAGAGATGTAAAGGTAAGGGCAACAGCATAACCTTTATTTTTCTAGCAAGATGAGGAGGAACATACTGACTGTTTTTCAAAATATCATCTTAGGTTCCAAGGTTTTAATCAAGTCAAATGCACAGCACAAACCCTACATTCAGGGACTCTGAATTCTGGTTTGCTAGTGATTCTGTTTACACTGTTAACGCCTGAATTCAAAGAAATTACAAAATGCAGTGCTTAAAAACATCACTTCAATGCTTATTTTAGCCATAGATACTCACAGAATGTCTAACTGACCTGACACGGGTGTAAAGGCCTGAGCACATGTGCTTGTAAGGAGGAAGGGTAAGCAACCTGGTCTAAATGAAATAAGAGAGAGACAAACGTGCAGTCCTCAGTCCTTACATCTGAATGGACACTGACATCCAGCACCTGAACCCTCCTTTAACCAACACAGGACATCCAAGGTTTGTTACAGCTTGAAGTGCTTTGAATCCAAGCAATTGGTACAACCACTGGTGTCTGCTTGACAGCCAGCATTGACCTTTTCCACCCTGCTGTGCTTTATCTGTCCAAGACATCAATCTTTGTTTAACAGATGCTGCTCACAAATTTTGTGTCTTCATGGCCAATGTGCAATGCCCTCCTGGCCCTGAGCTGCTGGCACATTTCTCTCCATGGCTGGATTCTCTCCCATTTGACAGCAGCAGAGGGGACCTGTCTGGAGAGAAGAGAGGCTGGTGGCCTGTGTGGACAATGACAGCGTGTCCCAGCTAAGAACGAGTTGATCTCCAGACCTGAATGATGCATACAGGCCAATACTTTGTGTGAAGACACTCCAAAACACAAGCTGATGTAATCCTGCATGTTTGGATTTCTTCTGGATAACATTAAAGTAATGGACAGAATTACTGTGTAACTGAAAACACATGATGTTTTCTTCTTTTTCTAAAAATGCATCATTTAACTTCCTTAAAGGAATCTAGAATTATTTTCCCTGAAACATACTCACTGAAGCACATCTATTTCATATGGTTTGCTTAACACATTCTGAGAGAAATACAATTAAATTTCATGAATAAGATCCTTCCACTTGCATGCATGCCTTGATTCAAAAATTCAGAGTTAGTGAGCAGCTGTAATAGAAACAGTAGTCTTTATAGGGAGCTGCACAATATATAGTAACTTTCTAACTTGTTTAAAAAGAAGGGTTATATTTTTCATTCTAGTGTCAACCTTGCTTTCTGCATTATAGCTCTAATACACAGGATGAATAATTTTATTATGCAAATAATTGCATGATGATTTATCGTACAAAGTATCTGTTGTCTCCATAAAGAAGAATTGAATCAAACAGGATCACAAGCCTCCTGTTATTCTTTACCATAAATGTGGCACTAACTTGTCCTCCACTTGCCCTCAGTGCTGATTGTAAAGGGTAGCCTGTGCCATATTACTGTGGTAATAAGTCATGAATATATCTGTGACATGGCTAAAGCTGTGCCACTTGATGGGAAAGAAGAGAGGCCAGACACCAAGGCAGCTGTGGGACATTCCTAGTGCTGTGCACAGGCCAGACCCCAAGACACAGCAGGAAGGGTGATGGTCACATGTGAGGGAAAACTGAAATTTTTGCTTGTGGGAAAATGTTTCCAAATCTGGAAGAACTTGGAAAGGCAGAGGTTTGTGTTTGCTATAGACAAATCTGTAGGTCATAGGTATATTGATGTTCTTCAGGCATTCCTCTCCTTTTCCATTTTTCATTGCATCTCTCTCTTTGCTCTCTTTCTGCTTAAACATCTACATATGTCAGAGACATCTTAAAGGTTAAAGCAGTCCATGCTGTATTTATTCCACCTGCCCAGTACTACTTGATATGTAAGATTTTCTGCCTCCAGCCCTGAATTTTTTCCCCACCAAATAACCCAGGGAGTAAGTGGACTCAAGGTATCTGAGCAGGAAACGAAACAAAAGATTTTGACTAAAAGACTTTGAAACAATCAAACAGAACTAACTACTATTCACTTATTTTCCTTCCTATTTGAACCCTGCAACCTTTTTAAGGTCTGATTTAATTGCTGTAAAGCAAACAAAAGAGACGAGGGCAGAAATACCAAAATCAGTGCAAAATGTAGTCTTATAAGCATATCAGCAACCCACAATTGGAAGCATTGTGTAGGAATATTAACCCCAAATTTCTGTTTTGAAGAATGGGCAGCAAGTTCAATCCCTATGTGTCCTAGTCACTTAAGAGTTGGACTTGATGACCCTTGTGGGTCCCTTCCATCTCCCTTCCTTCTGTCCTCAAGACTCTCATATAAGCTTGTAAGACCATTTTTTAAATTTTTGCCATGCAAAACTAATGAGATCGATGGCATAAATAACCCAAAATTTTCTGTGGGACTTTGGTTTTTATTAAAAACAAGGTTAATTACAGTGATGAGTTTTTAATATGTTGCTGTATATCTTAATTTACAACATCAAGGTCTGGGGCTCTGCTGGTCACTTTAATTTCATCTTCAAATCTGCAGCATCAGATTTGATTGACTCATTATAGGTTTAGGAGTAGGTGTTTGTTTGTGTAGGTTTTTCTTTCTTTTCCAAACTTCAGCAGATCCAAATTCTATGACCAGCAGCTCTCACACAAGAAATTGTTGATTCATTTGGAGCTGCAACCCTTGGATGTGGTGGGTGGGGAAGAGCAGGGACTCAGCTCTCACAATTTTTATGGTTATTTAGTATTTCTAATTATAATTTATATATATATATATATATAATAGATATTTGTTTCAGTTACTCCACTCTGAAGCAATCAAATGCAGAATGTGATCCATGAACATCAATATAAGTTGGACTATAAATAGTTCACCTTAAGCAAGTGCAAGGAACTATAGGTAGTGACAGTCTCTTGCTCTGTTCTGGATGATGGAAATCCCACCTGGTAAATTTTTCCATCTTATATACTGCCTGTGTATATATGTGTGTGTAGGTCCTGTTAAATAGACAATTTACATATTATTTCCTCTGCTTAGGGACCTACCTTGCTCCATGTGCTTTACAAAGAATTTGCATTGCTCCCTTTGGCCACAGAGACATTAGACACCTTCAAAGGTCTGCAAGGGGAAGTGTGAATAATTCTCATTATGTCTGAGGGAGTGACTGGGAGAGATTTGTTCT